ACCTGATTAAACTTACAAGTTTCTGCACAGCAAAGGAAACCAGAAGTAAAACAAAAAACCTATGGAATGGGAGAAAATTTTGCCAATGAAACCGACAAAGGCTTGATCTCCAGAATATTTAAGCGGCTCATACAACTTAATAAGAAACAACCAAACAACCCAATCCAAAAATAGGCAAAAGACCTAAACAAGCAATTCTCCAAGGAAGACATACAAATGATCAATAGGCACATGAAAAAATGCTCAATATCACTAATTATCAGAGAAACGCAAATCAAAACTACAATGAGGTATCACCTCACACCAGTCAGAATGTCCATCATTCAAAAATCCACAAATGACAAATGCTGGAGAGGCTGTGGAGAAAAGGGAACCCTCCTACACTGCTGGTGGGAATGCAGTTTGGTCCAGCCACTGTGGAGAATAAATGACAAATGCTGGAGAGGCTGTGGAGAAAAGGGAACCCTCCTACACTGCTGGTGGGAATGCAGTTTGGTGCAGCCACTGTGGAAAACAGTATAGAGAGTCCTCAAAAGACTAGGAATAGACTTACCGTATGACCCAGGAATCCCACTCCTGGGCATATATCCAGAAGGAACCCTACTTCAAAATGACGCCTGCACCCCAATGTTCATAGTAGCACTGTTTACAATAGCCAAGACATGGAGACAGCCTAAATGTCCATCAACGGATGACTGGATAAAGAAGAGGTCGTATATTTATACAATGGAATACTACTCAGCCATAAAAACCGACAACATAATGCCATTTGCAGCAACATGGATGCTCCTGGAGAATGTCATTCTAAGTGAAGTAAGCCAGAAAGAGAAAGAAAAAATACCACATGGGGTCGCTCATTTGTGGAATCTAAAACAAACAAAGCATAAATACAAAATAGAAACAGATTCATAGACATAGAATACAAACCTGTGGTTGCCAAGGGGGTGGAGGGTGGGAAGGGATAGACTGGGATTTCAAAATTGTAGAATAGATAAACAAGATTATACTGTATAGCACAGGGAAATACATACAAGATCTTATGGTAGCTCATGGAGAAAAAAGTGTGACAATGAATATACATATGTTTATGTATAACTGAAACATTGTGCTCTACACTGGAATTTGATACAACATTGTAAAATGATTATAAATCAATAAAAAATGTTTAAAAAAAACTAAAAAAAAAAGAGGAAAGAAAACATTCTCCCCAAGAGCCTCCAAAAGGAATACTATTCTGCTGATACCTTTATTTTAGTGAATAAGACCCATTTCAGACCTCTTACCACAAGAACTATGAGATAAAACAACTGTGCTGTTTAAATCACTAAGATCATTACAGCAGCAATAGAAAACTAATACAGCTGTTCAAAGAGTGGAATGCACGAAGTCACTGGTAATGACAAAGACTAGAACAGGACTACAGTGTGGTCAGGGAAAGTGAGGTCAAGGAGCTCAGATGTGTTGAGGGTGATCGCCCATATTGATGTTGAAGTCGTCAAGAATGATGACAGTGATCTAGATGCTCGTATCTTCAATGAATGCGGGGGGAGGTTTGCACATTACCAAGAAGGATGTACTCCAGGGGGCCTTGTCTTTTGGAGGGAAGAAGGAGATAGAGTGGTCTTGAAGGAACGATGAAACAGAAGGAGGACACCTATCTCATCTCCAAGCTCCATTACATATGGATATGAGATATAAAAATAGCCACCAGTAGGGAGAACTAAAAGAGAATCTATGTCCTGAAGGATGACCAGGTTTCAGTTAAAGAAAAAAGTGAAGTGAAGACAATAATGAGTAGAAAGTTCAAGGTACCGAGGATTTTAGATTTTGATGATAAACTGTAAGGGCACAATGAGAGTGTAAATTATGGGGTGGAAGCAAACGATGTGATCAAATTGGGAGATTTTTGAGGTTTATGGAGTTTTTATGAGCCAGGTGACAATCTGTGAACTTGAGATTTTGGGGCTTCTGAAGATGACTTGGAAAAACAGAAGTGTAAAGAATCGGGGGATTTGCCCTGATGCTTCTTTTCAGAAGGGTAAGCAGTTCTAAATATAGCATTTGGGGGGAATTATTGTCTAGGGTAGTTGAAGTGATAAGGTGATTCAAAGAGTAACTGTCTGAACAGCAAGGAGCCTGAGCTCCCAGGGTTCCTTCTCTTAAGCCTGTTTGGTGGGTGGAGGTGCGCAAGGGGAGCTGACTCACCAGGAATACATAGAACTTGGAGGTTTTGACAAAATCCAGAAGTCCATGGAGCCCTCAGGCCTCCTTTGCAAATTCCAGAAAGTGAATCATGGCTGTGGGAGGGGCACTGGAGCTGCGGAACTCTCACTAATCTGCCGTGGAGCTGGGTGGGGTCACAGTGAAGAGAGGGGCAAGCAAGAGAAACTAGCATTATTACCGAAGGGTTTTCTTCTGTCTGTAGTCCTATTATTTCTATGAATTCGGATCTCGTGCAGCAAATATTTTTCTTTTTAGAAACATCATCTCATATTTGGAGAAAAAATAATTTATAAGAAAAACTGAGTAGGTTAAAGGAATTAGAACATTGAAACTGAAAACGACAAAAAAAAAACTGCAATTGAGAAACAACACAGATAGAATTAGCTTTCGCAGACACAGAATGAGAATGACTTTTTACAACTTACGAGTTGGGCAATCTTAAAACCTCAAATCTCTGGTAGAGAAATCCCAACACATTAGAGAAAAATACATTCAGGAAATTTGTTCTAAAAGTGAATTCTGTTTCTTTACAACCATTTCCCCCAGACAGGAGGATGCTGTTAAGTTTTCAGTTTTTGCACATTAATTTTAGTTAACAGTGAAAGAAATTTAGTTAGTCCTTTACTCCACATGGTACAAAGAACTACACAGAAATTGTTCTGTCTTTAGGACTGGAGTCTTTAGCATAGCTTCAGAGTACCAATAAACCAGAGAAATTTTACATGAAACTATGTGATAGGGTGGATGTCAATGAATATAAAGTGAGGGTCCTTAGTTTCCTTCAAAACCCCAAAATGATTTCATATTTAAAAAAAGAAAAAAACACCAACTCTCTAGGAGTTTATAATAAAAACAGAATTAATTTTGATATTAATAGTTTAAACATATAAATTATAAAATAGTGTGTTAAAATATTAGACTTCCATGGTCAGATTTAGAATATAGAGAGGGATGCAAGGTCAGTGACTGCCAGAGGGGAGGGAGGAGAGAGGGATAAATCAGCATAGTAGAATTTTTAGGGCAGCGAAACTATCCTGTATGATACGCCAATGGTAGGCACATGTCACTGTATGTTGGTCAAAAACAACGAATTTCTACAAAACAAATGGTGAACCTTAATACGAACTATGGATTTTAGCTAACAATAATATATTAATTATGGCTCTTCAATTAAAACAAGTGTAGCACAAAAATGCAAGATATCAATAAAAGGAGAAACAGTTGGGGTCAGCAAGGTGCATGGGAACTCTCTGTACTTTACACTCAATTTTTTATAAACAAAGATGGTTCCACATATGCAAATTAATCAATGTGATACACCACATCAACAAAAGGAAAGGACAAAAATCACATGATCATCTCAACAGATGCAGAAAAAGCACTTGATAAAATCCAACATTTACTCATGATAAAAACTCTTAGCAAAGTGGGTATAGAGGGAACATATCTCAGCATAATATAAGCTGTTTATGACAAATCCATGGCCAACATAATACTCAATGGTAAAAAACTGAAAGCCTTCTTGCTAAAAATTGGAACAAGCATGCCCACTCTCATGCCTTCTATTCAACACAGTATTGGAAGTCCTAGTCATAGCAATCAGGCGAGAAGAAGAAATAAAAGGAGGACTCCATTTGGGATAGAAGAGGTACAAATGTCACTACATGCAGATGACATGATACTGTATATAGAAAATCCTAAAAACTCCACACAAAGACTACTAGAGCTGATAAATGAATTTAGCATGGTGGCAGGATGCAAGTTTAACACAAAGAAATCTGTTGTATTTCTTTACACTAACAATGAAATATCAGAAAAGAAAAGGAAAAAAAACCCTTTGAAATGGCATCAAAAAATAAGTAAAATACTTAGGAGGTAAAAGACTTAAAGGCAGAGAACTACAAAACATTGATTAAGGAAATTAAAGATGATTTAAAGAAATGGAAAAACATCCCATGCTCTGGGATTGGAAGAAATACTATCATTAAAACGGCCATACTATCCAAAGCAATCTACAGATTTAATATGATCCCTATCTAATTACCCAGGACATTTTTCACAGAACTAGAACAAATGATCCTAAAATTTATATGGATTCACAAAAGACCCAGAATTGCCAAAGCAATACTGAAGAAAAAGAACGAAGCTGGAGGAATATTCCCAGACTTCAGACAATACTACAAAGCTACAGTAATCAAAATAACATTATATTGGCACAAAAACAGACACATGGATCAATGTAACAAAACAGAGAACCCAGAAATAAACCTACACACCTACAGTCGATTAATCTTTGACAAAGAAGGCATGAATATACAATGGAGAAAAGACAGTCTCTTCAGCAAGTGGTGCTGGGAAAGCTGGACAGCCACATGTAAATCAATGAAGTTAGAGCACTCCATCACACCATATACAAAAATAAACTCAGAATGGCTTAGAGACTTAAGCATAAGACAAGACACCATAAACTTCCTAGAAGAGAACACAGGTAAAACATTTCTGATATAAATCATAGCAATGTTCCCCTAGGGCAGTCTACCAAAGCTATAGAAATAAAAGCAAAAATAAACAAATGGGACCTAACTAAACTTATGAACTTTCACACAGCAAAGCAAACCATAAACAAAACAAAAACACAACCTACAGAATAGGAGAAAATATATGCAAATGATGCAACTGACAAGGGCTTAATTTCCAGACTATACAAATAGCTCATACAACTCAATAACAAAAAACCAAACAACCCAATCAAAAAATGGGCAGAAGACCTAAACAAACATTTCTCCAGTGAAGACAAATGGCCAACAAGCATATAAAAAAATTCTAAATATTGCTAATTATTAGAGAAATGCAAATCAAAACTACAATGAGATATCTATCACCTCACACCAGCCAGAATGGCCATCATTAAAAAGTCCACAGATGATAAATACTGGGGATGGTGTGGAGAAAACGGAATCCTCCTACACTGTTGGTAGGAATATAGTTTGGAGCAGCCATGATGGAAAACATTTTGGAGAGTCCTTAAAAAACTGAAAATAGACTTTCCATATGATTTAGCAATTCTACTCCTAGGCATATATCCAGGAGAAACTCTAATTTGAAAAGACACATGCACCCCAGTGTTCAAAGCAGCATTATTTACAATAGCCAAGACATGGAAGCAACCTAAATGTCCACTGACAGATGATTAGATAAAGAAGTTATGGTACATAAATACAATGGAACATCACTCAGTCATAAAAAAGAATAAAACAATGTACATTCCATAAAAGAAGGTAATGGAGTAGTAGTTTACATCTTAGAATCATTTTGATATTCCCATCCTGTCTTAGTCAATTTAGGCTGCTATAACAAAATACCATAAATTTGGTGGCTTAAATAACAGACATCTATTTCTCAAAGTGATGGAGACTGAGAAGTCAAAAATCGAGTTGCTGGTCAACGTGGTTCCAGGTGAGAGCCCTCCTTCTGGCTTGTAGAAGGCTGCCTTCTCGCTGAGGTCTCACATGACAAAGAGAGAAAAGGCTCTGGTCTCTCTTCCTCTTATAGGACACTAATGCCTCATAAGGACTCCATCCTCATGACCTCATCTAAACCTAATTACTTCCCAAAGGTCCCACCTCCAAATATAATCACATTCAGGGCTGGGGCTTCAACATAACGAATTCTGAGAGGACATGAAGATTCAGTCTAAATTACGCCTCTAGCCCTAAGTCAGAATTGCATTATTTTATAACATGAATTTAACTCCATACAGCTTAAGTACAAGATTATACATGTAAAACAGTATTTGAGATTTAAAAGTAATCAGTTATTTTAAATAATTTAAATATTAAAAACTTTGAAATAAAGCGTCCTCTCTCAAACATCAAGAGATACTATTTAAAAATCTTTATTTACAGTAAACTCCTTCCCCCACCAACAAAAGATAATTTCCTGAGGAAGGATGCAAGCATCTTAAACAAGCTTTATTCTCCAGTTCCCATCAATGTAATCTTACAACTTTCAGCAAGAATGCCCAAATGCCTAAATGTATAATGTATCACATTTGGGGAGAATAAAGTAAGCAAGATCGAGATAATTTTGGACTTCATAGTCTGTAGTCTACACCTTGAATTTTATCTGGAATCAGAGCATATCACAGAATACCGATGTAACAGCCAATGGAAACACTATCACAGCTTGATTAGGTAGGAATATGATGCATTTCTCATATTGCTTTCATTAAAACAGCATCATACCCATAAAACTTTTGAATAGACCATCTCCTGAGAGAGTAGTCCAAAATTACCATCTTATTAAAATATAACTCCTGCTTTGGTTGCTTTTTCTTGTATTCTTCACAGTTCCAAACTATGGTGTGTGGCCAGGGGAACACAAATTATCCCTGAGATCTAACAGAACTGGCCTTTAATGTTACAGACAAGGCCAGAAATCTATTTTCCATGTGTCTTCTTTGAAATATAAACTCTTCACCCACTACCCGCCCATCCTAACCCCAGGGCATCAACTTTCAAGTTAGGGTTGTGATAAACAAACACTTCAGATTTTAGGCCTAGCTCAGCCTCATTCACTTTAAGTCAGATTTTATTTTTTTTAATCTTCTCCTTTCTGTCACAGAGTCTCAGAGAGTTCTGCACCTGAATGTCATGACTTGTCATGACCTGAGCTTGTGTTCACTGACAGGAGCTTGCGAGAAAATGAGCTGGGAGAAATAGATGTAACCAGAGCAAAGTCAAACAGAAAGTTATGAATTAAAAAAAAAAAGTGGAAGAAGAGGATATTTAGGAGTTTTCCCCACCTCTCACTTTCCCATAATTACACACATCGCCTGACAGCTGTTCTTGATCTCCTTTCATTTAACATTCACAGGATCAAGATGATTTCAGAACACAGGGGCAAGTTAAGACTGTGAGAGGTCATTCATCTTCTCCATAAGGAAAGAGAAGAAATGTGCCCCTCCCTCATTCTCAGAGTAATCCACTATAAATGGTGATTTTTATGCCAAACTGGAGTTTTCTTCATTCCTTCTTGTATAGCTGTATGAAGGCTTCTCCACACTAAGATGGGTCACCAAGGTAGCTTATAGATTTTTCTTCCCTTGAGACCTTTAAAGAATATAAATATCAAAATGTCTTTGAAGGATGGCCTGGGGTCCTTACTATATGTTGAGGAGTGGATTTAAAAAAAAACCTTTGCTGTACCTAATGCCTTGTGGGTAAGGAATAAAAGCAAAACAAAACATTAACTATACTCATAAGATAAAATAATTCCTTTCATACACTCTTTATTTCCAGTATGGTGATTTTCTTTTTTTGATACATAACTCTCTGCCTTCCTGACATTAAATGTCAAAGCAGCACTCATTCTGTCCAGTTGAGCTACAAAATTAATTGACTACTACGAAGAATACCAGTTTAGCATAATGAGCCACAAAAGACCCACATCAACAATAAA